GTTATAAACTCTGTAGATAGACCAATCGATATCAATGCAAAGACCAAAGAAGTTCAGAATTTCTGTGTATGTGAACCATACGAATACACTTTTAAAATACCAATGTGCAGGGCCCATGATGGGTCACAAGAACCTAGAAAAAATCCAGAAATACCATTTTGCTTATCTGGAAAACCCACATCAGATAGAATCCTTTCTTTTAGTTGCGATAAACAAAAAGGTGGATTCAGTCCGAATATCGCTTGGATAGTAATGGTAACTGTAAATCCTTCAGCCTTATAAGAAAAAATTGATAATACACTCTTGGCTAACGCGACCACAAACAAAGATGAACTTATCGATCTAGAAGATGCATTATTTTTTGGAATGGAGCAAAGTAAAACTGTTTTTTTACCAGGATTATTTTTAATAATTAAATATAGTATTGCTTTATTTGGATATAATACCGATATGGATAACCTACAAAATCTCAGATTAACTGGTAGTGCTGCATTACAACAACTTATCGATGCTATAAAAGCAAATAACCCTATTCCTTCTCAACCTAATGAATCTGTTCTAACACCTACACCAACTGAAATAATAATTTAAATAGATATTTTATTTGACTATAACACAATTTACGAATATTATACAAGCAAGATCAAAGAAAAGAAAAAGCTTGTAGATTTGAAACCAGGTAGCCATCTTTATAATTTGATACATGGGGATATACGTTTAAACAAATATATAGTCTCAGACTTGGATGAGGAAATTCATGTTCATGGATTAGTATTAATTCAAAAATTTAAAGAGAAAATTTATAATGAAAAAGATTATAATCAGGTCTTGAAATATATTGATGCGTTAAAAAATGTTGATAATTTTTTTATCAAAGATAAAGAAAACTACACTAACGAACTTGAAGAGTTAAAACTAAAAATTAAAATTAAAATTAACGAACAGATCAATTTAAAAAATAATCAATCAATTATCATGTTTAAAAAAAGAAATAATAATATTCGATTTAAACTGATTTATTTTCTG